TTTATTTTCAGTTCTCTCAATTCAAATTCAGTTCTCTAAATTCACAAATATCAGCCCATAAGAAACACCTTTTCTAATTTTGATGGAAAAAAGCGGTAAGTACATATACAGTATACTGTACCTGACTGTACTACGTTTACACTACAAGCAATGTGTTCAACAAGTAACTGCCTATTTTACTTTGATATAAAGTCCTCAACCACTCGACCAAATGTACGCAACAGAAACACACTTTGATGCAGTAATGTCAGCCAAGCAGAGTGTGTACTGGGTTAGATCAAAGGGTGATTCATATCAGTACTTGGCTCTTGAATCACAAATGCTCGTAGAATCTATCTTTCCTCTTTTATTAATCAAATCCTTGCAGCCAAGAGAACGCTTATTCCTGGAATACATCAATCATAAGTAGCACCAGACACAACTCAAGTTGGATAAATCAGTGAAGGATACTCAACTGCAAATCATCAGGAGTATGGGAGACAATAGCTAGACTTCCATCCAAATGTCTAAAAAAATTTAACCCAATTTTGAGAATGAATACTTATTTCCATCCACAACCATTATGAGATTATTAGGCGTTGGTTCATCGAGACAAGCAGTAGAAGCAGTAGGTGGTACTAATTCTGCAGTCGTAAATGTGCATAGAAACAGGTGGATGGAAACTCACCTAATGACATCCTGGGGATGAATTGGACCCAGAAATTTCAACAGCTCCAGGACTATTTAAAGGCATCACTGAACTCCATCACGACTGCACCTTCCCCCAAAAATCTTTACAAACTGAGCCAGGCTTAGTGAAATCAATACAGCACCAGAGAATATAAGTACAAACGCTGACAATATGGCTGCCAGGGTTGTATTTCATTACTGAATAGAACAAAATACCAGTTTATAACACAAAAAAGTGTTTTAGTGACACCATCTGTCCTCTGTGGGAAGATTGGGTTGCCATATGTTCATGTTTAGGATGTTATATATTGTATGGCTCTGCACCACCCAGAAAACAACATCAGTTTCCACTTGGGATAAGTTGCTCTGGACTTTCCTCTCCATTAAGAAAACATCCTTATGTCAGGGTGGGGAGCGCACAGCTTCTAAATGGAATGAGAAGAGCTGATTTGATTGGCTACGATTGATGCCAGCCGCTGACACAGCCGCCGATAATGTATTCCTAATCAAACCCAGTTTCCAGCTCTAGAACAGGTGCCAACTGTGCCACAGGTGCCCGGTTCCTGGATGTGCACAAGTAGTTGCATCCTGTGCACAAAATTACCAAAATTTGCCATGTCCTGTGATACTGTGCACTGTGCCCACTGGTTTCTAAAATAATAACAAATGTTGTCCCTTTTTTGACTACCATGACTACACATAGTGCTGTAAAAGTAAAATGTAGATCCAAGATTAAGATACAAGTGCTGTGACAACTTGGCTTTATAAAGGAGTTTGCTGCAGCACTTACCGGAACTGTTGCCCATAATGCCCATAATGGAGATTGCCTTGTTGTTAGCCATCTGTCTAGGTGAGCTTAAACTGACGGGCATATTGGTGGAATTGAAGTCAGGCCGCTGTTCGCACAGTAGCATATTGATACTGCCAATCATGTCCCTTTGGAAATCCAATGAACTTGCTGCCTTAAAGATTTCAGAGTTCTGCAACCTGGCCATCTGGATGCAAGAAAAATCAGGAGTTAAAAAGTAAAAAAAAATGACAGCATTATCATAAAATAAAAATGTGGAGTCCACTCCAGTGTACAGTGGTCACACTAACCTCCTCAATCACTGGTAACGCATTTTGAGTGGTTTTCCCCATCAATGTTGCTGTGTCTGCTCCATTTAGATCCAACGCTGAAGGTAGCTAAAGGAGGGTTAGAACATTTGGTTTGAATGGATGCACATGCATGGCCAAAACTTAAGAAGGAAATAGTCAAATGTATTTTATTAGTTTCAAATGTTCTCTCTTTTTTTAAACTTTGTCCTGAAAAAATATGTTATTGTATTGTATAACCAGTGGCTAGAGTTGTAATTTCCATATTCATTTAGGTTTTTTTCAGAACACCTGCCACCTACCTACCACCACACCTTAGCTAAAAATACCAGTTCTGTATCAGCCTTTCCCGTCAAGACACTATATGATAGCAATAAACACAGTAATTTGTGCATCTTGACCTGTAAATTGTATTCTGGCATCATCATCCTTGGCAACGGTTAATAAAAGTTGCATTAAAATGACAAGTGTTACTGTGTGCTACAGTGACATTCTGAAGGTACACAGTATGCGTCCAATTAGAAGAACTAAATGGCATGCCCTTTTAACCACTGTCATTTCCATGCATCAAGTGTTGAGTATAGACTGAATTAGGAGCCCAGATTGTTGTTGTCTTTCAGGAAGTACAATTATAAAGCTTGGAAACATATTCAAGACATAGGTAGGAGTGGGAAGATCAGAGGGCTTAGGCACTGCATTAGTAATTTTAGATAAAACTCTATTCACAAATAGAAGCCCATTCAAGCATGGTTTGGACAATAGCCCAGCTATTGATTGCGTCTTGAGCACATTCATTTAGGATCACTTCTACTCTCAGTGTTTGCAAAGCAGACATGAAGAGGAGACTTAGTAAGAAAGTGTAGGAGTCTCAGACAAATTTGAGCAAAACCGCTGAAAATCACTAGTGAGCAATCAATGGAAGGAGAGATTGAAAGGATAGAAGGAGCATTGTCACATTAAGCTTCCCTGCACTTTGTTACTGAAGACTCCAATGGTTGTGTGTGTGTTTCTTTTGCTAACCTGGTAAGCTGATTATAAAAAAAATAATTTTACAAGAATAATATAACCATAAATATGTTGAATTGTTCAAAAAGTTAATGAGCTAATGAACTACAAAGGAGATTATGCTATCAAAGACACACTTTGACATTTGAATGACCTTTGTTGAGCGCCACATATGTTCAAATGCTTTTTGTTTACCGTCTTCCCTGTATTGTGTTCTGAAATAATTTCCAGAAACACAGACACAAACCTGTGGAACCAATGTCTAAATCTACCTCAATGATAAACTCTGACTTCTTCCCTTGTCCTTTTCTTTATGTTGTTGTTATCACAATCATTCAGCAACGTCAAGCTTTAAGTGTGAAGGCTTGATGTTCTTTTCCATCCATTTGCTTGCGGCGCTGAAGAGCTTTTCCACCATATCTTGTCTGGCTTTTCTTTTTTTCTGTGTCTGAAAATGCCTGTGGGCTTAAATTGTTCAAATGCTCTCTCCTACGAACTTCCTGCCTTATCACTTATTTATTGGATTTGCTGTCCCATATATTTTCTCTCAAAGATAAACTCAAAGAAAAGTGCAGGCTTTCATCATCCCAAAGGGAACTCTGAGATTTAAAAGAACTCAAGAAAACATTGGTTCCAATAAATAATTCCCACCTGATTGCACGCATTCTAGTAAAATCACTTGAAGAGAGGGCCACATGACAACGGCAATTTTAAAAGCTTAGAACCTATGGGACAGAAAATGATTTCTCACTCAAAATGGAAAAAATACCAATACATTAAGATAATGATGTAGTAATAGAGTATACGTGTTGAGGTGTTGCTGGTAAGTGGATACATCAGGAGGTTTTAACTCTAAAAGATATTTCAGTCACAGAGTCAGAGAAGCAAAACATTTAACTTTGAAAGTGGTTATTCAACTGGTTGGCACACAACATCATTGTCTTTTAATTCAATTTACTGCAAGCCATGCGAGAATTATAGTTAGAACAGACTATGCGCCCACAATACTTTTAAACCTTATTAAACTTTAGCTTGTTTTATCTTGCAGTTTGTAATTGATAGAATGTCCATGCTGAAAATTACCTTGTGCAACCAAATTCATTTTTTTTTCGTATTTAGCTCTATCTATCATAACTCCCACACAAAAAAATGGCAGAAAGGCTCAACAGGAAATTTTGGCATACAAAACCACCTACACTACCTTGGCATTTAATTTTTGCTTAGGCGTAAAAGGTTTGCTCAGCCATTTAGAACCACGTTTGTACCTAGAACCCTGCACTAACGGATGCACAAAACAAATGTGTCTATCAGTGATGCATTTGGAAAATTAGAAGTAACTGTTTTTAGCTCTAGCTACAAATTTTCCAACTGTTTCAGAATCCATTTCAAAGCCAAACTTTAAAAAAGCCAAAATAAAAAATATTTTATTTGGTTCAGACTGATAATGTCAGTACTGTAATTAAATTGTGAAATATTAGTGTGGACGGGCACTGATAACAGTTCATATTATGACCTCAGTGCCAACAGCCACAAAGGTTGATCGCCACTGTGACTCTGCACGTTACCATGTCACAATTTAAATTACCGGGTTCACTGAGTGCTGAGATTGCTTGTTGCTGTGAGTTTAACAGTCTAACTATTTGCCATTACCACATCTGGACCGGTGAATGAGCGACAGTTAAAGCTAGCTAGACCACCTCTTTTTTATAACATTGAATGAACACAGCACTGAGCTGTTAAGGAGCTGCCAATGACTCAACTGAGCCAACATGACTAACAGTACATAACCAAAGTGGTGTATGCTTGTTGTTCAGAGGCTATACAGGGCTATGATGTGCTTCAGTCAGGGCATCTCCTAAAAAGGCCACCTAGGTCTGAATCTTAGATGCTGTTTGATTATCCTATGAAAAATACTGCATGCTCAATTGCTACAGTATCTTCAGTTTGTCTTTAAAATGCCTGACGGAGGGTTCAAATGAATCCTCGCAAGTTATTCCTCAATTGCTCCAGTGGTGGCTGAGATGTCACAAGAGTTTCAAATTTACATTTTTAATACCGCCTTCATTGGTCCAGACAGTGTAATTTGTTAGAATGCAAGATGTGGGTGACCTTGCCAAGCAGGAATTAGGGCTTTTCAAATGCAGACATTATGGCCTGTATTACTACTGCAGTGTCCCCATCAGGCCAATTAGTGTAAACGCAGTTCCTAATGCAATCACTTTCCAACTTTTGTCAAAATTAGACTAATTGTGCCCGAGTTTCAATGCAAAATTCCTTCAAGTCTCCTCAAACTCAAACTAGACAGGTTGTGAGACGTGTTTGTTGTGTGTGGGCGACAGCAAGACAAGCTCACCTCAGAAAGCACTTTTCTTGTATCCAGGTTTTGCAGGAGTACTTGTTGGGTGTTAATCAGCTGCTGTGGAGTGAGGGAGCAGCTGACATTTTGAAAAGCCTCCCTTTCAGTTTGGCTGCTAAATTGGACATACTGATCCAGATCTGTCCCCTCACACAGGATGCTCCTGAGGTTGCCTGGCCTCGGGATGCCCATCATCTGAAAAATAAATACCAATTTTGGTAGAAGTTGACAAACAGAACTTTGCATCTGACCATACTTTATTTATTCATGTGTTGTGTCCTTTGGGTTTAAAGTGCAAGCAGACAATATGCAAAAACACATTTCAAACTCAGATGTAAAGTGATGTTTTTATTTTAATTAAGCCATATCATCTATTAAATACTGACATACACTACTCGACTACAGTGACTCTCAAAACAGACAAACAAATTAACACCCACACACACAGATGCATACACACAGATCGTTTTGGATCAAACCAGACAATATACAGTGACACCAAGCAAGACAGGAAGCATGGACAGAAGACAGAGAATGGCTCATGAAGTTTTACTTTATGTGCACATAGTACAGTTTGCACCGGAGCCCATTACAATCATCAGAATGCCTCATACACAGTAGGGATCTTTTAATCAGAGCACATTGTATTTAAGCATCCTTGTCAATGTCAGTGAAACATAATTACCTTCTTGCAGCTCATCTGATATTACTTGGTACATACCACAGTATCAATTGGGGAGCATTTAGAGACAAGACGCTGTTATTGCTGTTGCAAGTTCATTTCATTCCAAATTACCTACTGTAGGCAGCTTCAAACGACTTTTTCTGTCAAGCAAATACTAGAGTTTGCTTTGATTATGACTGTCAAGACAAAGAGTCCCACAGGCAGTCCTTGGCCAGTACATTTTATTCTTAAATGTTCAAGTACAACACTCTTGGCACACTTGGTCTTTTGAACATTTAAATTATTTAATGTACAGAGGGAGGTGAAACATTGTTACAAAACAGATGGCATCCTTATTATTAGACACTGTTTTTTGCTGTTTCCAACATGTAAGTTGCAAAATGATACTCACTGAATTGAGTTTAATCTCAGCATTCATGAGGCTTTGGACCACTTCTGGTGGCACCGACAAATTCTCTTTCAGATGAGTGGAGAAAGTTTCGTTGTCTCTTAGAATACTCCTTAGGATCACTGGTTGACCTTAAACATAAAGATGGAGAATCATTACTTTTGAAGAACAGCAATTGATACACAGAAAAAAACAGAGAGACACAATAGGATATACAGTGTATAGCAGTGTACATTAGTTTACATTTGTGATGCCGACAAAATGCCAGAGATGTAAAATTTGTAGGTAAATGTTTTTGCTTTTTTAAATTATTATTTACAGACTTTTAGATTCTATGTTTTCGGCAGAAATCCTCAATACTTGGGATCTGCACTGCAGATATTTTGCAGCCTTTCTGTCTCTGCTTTGACTCTTTGTCCATCCTTCTGTATTTTTTTCCACGCTACTGTTCACATATGTGGGTGCATGCAGAAATATGTGTCATATGTCATTTTCCCTCATGGACACCTATGCCAACCATGGAGGAGCCTGTCATGTTAACTAATAGGACAGCAGCCCTTCCACTGCAACAGAAGGTTGATCTAAGCACTAGAGGATTTATTCTTGCTGTTGAAAGGACAAGGTTAAAGCTGTCTTCAGAATCACTGAAGTGCAGCTACTGAGAATAATGTTATACTAACTGATAGAAACAATGGCAAAATCTATGAAAATAAGACTTATAATGTAAAGAAATTCTTTACAATTCATGTGTGCGTGTTGTTAAAAAAAAAATCTTCAAAGCATCCTTTTTTTTTATACATGTTGTTTGGAGAGGCATTAAGGTGTGATGAATTTAATTCTAAATTATATTTTTTAGACGACTGTTGCAATTAAATCCTTCATCGGTGCGAGTAGGGGTTGAACACTTGAGTTGCATGAGAGGAGATAATTTGTTGCTAAACACGTACCAGATTGTTAACCAGCCATTTTCTCTTGATTAGCTGCCCACAGACAGTCAGGTTTTTAAAGAGCCGGCTTCAAAAACCGATCAACTGCTCTTTGTTACACTGCCCTTACAACGGCTCAACACCGCAGGGATCCCACTGCAGTACATTCACACACCCATGTACATCCTGAATCTATGCAACATGTGTTTTCTTCTTTCTGGGACTCCAATATGTGCTGCTGAGATGATAAAGGGGTTATGTAATTTAATTAGATCACACTTTTGCAAGTATAATACATGCAAGTCAGTCAATTACCAGGATGAGAGGAGGAAGTGACTTACACTGGGTGATTTAAGGTTCAATTAGGATAAATGTTTGGGAAAAATAACAATCATTCACTATTGTCTGGAATTAATTATGCGGCTTGATGCTCTGCTTACACTCTATACAACACCTCCTGATTCCTACTAAACACATATTATTATGCCCCTCATGACTGCAGGAGCATCAAGAGGGATGGGCAGGGTTAGATTGTGGGGAAGTAGAACATGCTCTGGGCTCTTGCTGAACACTGTTGTCTTTCTGATTGAAGTGGCCACCTGAGTCTTTTAATCAACCCTGGGTAAAAACCAAAAAAGGGACACAATCGCCTTTGCCATCCTAGTCTTTTGATAATACTCCATTCCCCATTCTTGTTAATGACCTTTTGTGCTCTCTCGTCAGACAGCGAATGCCATTAATTATACCCAGGCTTAGATCTTTGATGGATTTAATCTTGTATATTACAAGCCAGCGACCCCAAAATGCAAATGGCCCATGAGCCGTTTGTTGAACAGCAAAACCCCCCACCCCCCTTTGTCTTTTTGCAAATTAGGTGCCGTATGAAAATCTGAATATCATCAGGCTAAATGAGCCTAATGCAAAGCAGCAACTTATCAAGACAAATGATCTGTCAGTCTGCATGGCAAATTGCATCATAAATAATCGTGCCATTGTTTTTGAGGGATAAAGGGGAATAACAAATCCTCCAACTTGTCACCAACATGAAGGGGATACTTTCCTTGATGGAGAGTACTTAATAAAGACATAGCAGAGTGATTGTTGCTGAGGCTGAGTATTTTCTATTCCAATTATGTTTTGAACCATTACTCAGTAGCAATAAAACTTTTATATCAAGAAAGACCAATCTACAATTCGACCTTGTTGCTTTTCACCATTTTTTGTAACAGTGTCTAAAAACAAGATCCTGTCATGAATAGTTTCATTGTTTTAAAGTCAGTGCATCAAGATTTTGGGATTCAGATTCCCTTACCGTTAGCAGGGTTAGACTGTGACAGGACTGAAGTCCACTGGTTGATGTCATCTGATAGCAACTGTGCCTTGCTGAGAATAGATCCGTTCACCAGGAGGGTTTGCAGCTCTATCAACATCCCAGCAATTCTGGTTTACAAGCAAGACAAGAAAGATCATACATATATGTAAAATCTGAAATCATAACCATATTATTCTGTTTAATCCTCACATTTAATGTCTTAGAAGACAGAAAAGGAAACATCCCAGTACGTACATGGAGTTGTTGAAGTTGTTGACTTGGCCTGGCGTCTCCCCCGGCGTTGGATAGTTCAAACAGGGATTGTTGATGTTACACATCATACCTTGAAGCCAGGGCAGCACGCCAGCCGATGGCATGGCTTTATTTGGGTAGTGGCCTAAAGGAATAGAGGTGAATTCTTACTGTATATATCTACCCAGCTGCATGACTAACACATTGTTGGTTGGAAATATAGAGGAGGTGGTGTCACAACAGATGTTAGTATTTTTACATTAGCTTTATTATGCATTATTATAGAAACACACAATCAGAGTAGTAGCAGGTTTACATGCAGTTTAACATTACAACTGGGCTTGTACTTACATTGACCTTTGTAAAAAGGCTTATTGGTGGAGCGCACCCACACCAGTATGAAAAAGAGAAACAGAGGCCATACCACTTCTACGACCAGTCGCACCTGCACGAAGAATAAAGCGATCTTATTTTCATATTTTGTTTATGGAAATATGTCTTTGGAACACATTATGGCTCACATAATTTGCATAGTTTCCTCACAAGTGAAATGCAACATCTCTCATAAAGTCAAAGCAAATCTCTCTAAAGATATGAGGTGGATGTAAAGATGTGTAACTTACTAGTTAAAAGGCAAAAAGAAGCTGTTGTGTTTCTGCAGTTGAAATACTGTATATGACTGACTGAAAAGACCTCAGGAGGCTGTGTGTATCTGTGTGAGTTTGTTTACAATGTCATAGTCCATATGTTTTGCTGTTGGTCTTGCTTTTACTGGAAGCACTTATGGGATTGAGAGAGCAACCTCTGCTTGCGACTCCCCAAGCCTAAACTATCACACACGCCTTATCATCTCCTCGCCACGTTTAATCCGCTTCTGGATGAAGAGTACTGACCACTTCCTTGCTTTTATTCAACCACTTCAATACCTGCCGGCAGGTATAGCACACCATGTGACATGCCAAGCTTTCATTTTAGCCTCAGGGAATGGGTGAAGAGGAAAAACCAACAAAGCACAAATAAATTACCTCAAGGCTGTACTTGTTCACTAAGTTGTTTCTCATATTTTACCCCTCAGTTTGCCAAGAGGGATATTCTAGAGCCAAAGTACCAACACCTTAGAGTTTGGAGATTTTACATATCTGAACCACCACTGTGTAAATGTTGAAGCATGAAGCAGTGCATTTTCTTTACACAAGTCAAGGTAACATGCACCTCTGAAAGCTGAAGGCCAAGTAACATTTGTGCAACAGTAGATTTCACTTCATAAAAGCAATTCATCGCTGCAGTTAAGTGTTTTCAGCAGGGAGTAATATCCACCAGCGGATGACGTCCAATGAGATATTACAATGCTGTGGTTCATCCTTCCTTGACTCTTCAACCCCACACCCTCTGCCATCCAGGCTTTTACGCGTCCCTTGGCATACCATCGCTCGACAGCCTCACCCCACCCCCCAAGCCCTGCACTCACCCACCGAGCCCTCTCACACTAACCTCAGCTGACCTGGTCTGCCTGCACACTCATCCCTCCCAACATCTCTGCTGGAGTGACCTGCTTAGAGGAACCAGCTGGAAAGCTCCAGTCAGCCAATTCCCCACTCCTGCTTTGGTAACATGTTCGGACACTGTATTTGATGATGCACATTAGCACAAATAATAAGGGAAGACATCTATACAGAGGTTGTTGTCTTCATAATTAAACTGGAGGGCAGGCAGAGGTGAGGAAAATACAACAATACATATTGCTTGTTATGCCACAGCACCATGGGAACCTTATGAATTTAAGTAGGGTGTCTGCAGTAGAATAGGGATGAGGGGTGGGGGTTGAAAACATTTGATTTAGTTTAGTTTGGTATATATAGGCATACAGTGAATAATCAGTTATATAATTTTGTCAATGAATTACAGATGAGAAAATTGCAGAAAATCACATTGCATAAATACTAGATAGAATTTCTAATTCTGTCCTTTAATTCCCTCCAGTCTGTGTGTCAGAGAGGATCTAGTTCTGCTGAGAGGGTGAATTATCATAATGTATTCCAAAGAAAAGGCATGGAGAGGGAACACAGAGATCATGGGGACTTTCTCAATGTCTGGCTCCCCAGGCATTTGCCATCGGACACCAGCGTCTTTGTGAATAGATAATCTCCTCCTATGAAATTATGTGAAATATTGAACCATAAAACCAGTTTCATGCCTGTTATAAAATCTTAAAATGCTTGGTGAGGCATTCATATAATTGGTCATTAACCTCCACAAGCCCTCCAGAAGCACCATTGTCCTTGCTAACTCCCACTGGTTTTGTCTAATAACAATATTTCATGTTGACATTGGCCAAATATCCCACATTCTATGCACAAAACCACCACTGTCCCCTCACGCATTTTAGGGAAAAAGTAGGCGCATATTTCTTCCTGATACAAAAGATACCACCCTGTTCTTTTTGCTGGTTGAGAACATTAACAAGGGGGATGTTTCCCAGATACAAAGTTGTAAAATTGCAAATGACTTTGCCTTGAGTTATTCCCAGAAAGTATGAACTTTGATGAAAGCTGATTTTTTTTTGTGAAGATGTCTTTTGTTCTACTCTGGCAACAGACACACTGCTGTGCTTGAACCCCTAACAAAACAAGTGGGTGGATGTGACTCCTATCATCACTGCAAGGGTATAAATCAAAGAATACACTGTAGCTCTTTGTAACAGCTAGCCTATATCTGCCTCCAAAATGACTCATAAGTCTAACTAGATTCCATGACAACTTGTTCTGACCCTTGAGATGCAGTTGCGACACATATTTTCCTGCAGTATGTGACCTCTTGCCTGCTGTGGGTGACATCACAGGCAATAATAACCACCATATATCATTGACTGATCACGTTTTGCGACTGTTACAAGAGTGACAAAGGAATGACTGGGGTTCAGGGAACTGGCCTCGGGAAAAGGGATAATGCCTAGGAAACTCAACAGCAGGGTTCAAATATTATGTGAAAAGGTTTCTAAATCAGTGAGGTTTGCAAAGGTTTTTTTAGTTGTATGAAGGAAATGCCAATATTAATGTTTAAAAATCTAGATGTAAATGAACATAGCTTGATTTGTCTGTATCATTTTTATTCAGCAAGTATTTGCATTTAGTCAGACTAAATAATTTTGTGAATATTAAAGTTACACAAATGAGAAAAAGGAGTTTTACATAATTCAAAGTTGAAAAGGATAAATTATCTGATGAAAACTTAAATGTGCTGGCTTATGCTGAAAATGACAGGTGCAAACATTGCAAACAGGTTCAAATGTCTTGAATTGTTAATTTTTTGTTTCAGAAATGTTGCATGGGAGTTGAAGCACTGAAAGCAGTTGAAGCATCAGTTGAAGCATCAGTTGAAGTTTGAGCACTGAAAGTTGGAAGTGTTTTGAAGTTTAAGAGCCGAAAGCAGTTGAATTTCAATTTAAAATTTTAATCCCTGTTAGGTAGATGAATTGTCAGTTAGAACGTAAGCACTTAAAGCAGGTCAACCATCATTTGAAGCATTCACACCGAAAGCAGTTGAGCTGTCAGTTCAAAGTGTGAAATATGAATGCAGTTAAAATTGCAACGGAAGTTAAATGGGCATGGGTAGCTTAAGTGCATTGTAAAAAGAAATGAAATGTCACTTGGTGTATTTGAGCCTTCAACTGAAGAGTGAAAATTAATAACCTTTAATTGCCTGGTGACATTTTTGTAAAATGTAATGATTCTAAAGTTTTGGATAACATTGCTGAGGACAGGCTGTGACCGTGAGTTTGTAAAAAGAGCCAGATAGAGTGTTTGCCCTTCAAACAAAGCATTTAACATTCGTCACTCCCTATCCCATTCTATTAGGCCAAAGACTGGCTTTGTTAGAACTAAAATACAGTCAATGTGACATAACGTGCACAAGAGATAGATCTACAAAAATTGAAGGTGACACTTCAAATTGGTCGACATTAAGGTAAGATTGTTCTTGTTCTCTTGTGGGAGAGTTAAAGGCGGCTTACTTCTATAGGAGACAATTTTCGTAGTAAATCCCTCCTATTGCCTGTCCCTCCCATGAATAACTTAGTTGCCCTTGATGACACAACCCTGGGATCATACTCTCATTTTCCCCCCATTGCTGACCAATTTTAGCAGATATACGTTGATTTGCAAAGAGGGTTGGTGAGCACAAGTGTACCTTTTGTCTCTTCCGGAGAGTGAAGTTCTTCCACAGGAGCAGAGTGAACTGCGTCAGGAGACCCATTACGGCTTATCCTGGCAATATCCTGCCAAAGCGTCGCTATGGCAACTGGCCCACTTAATAAACCCTGGAGGGAATAAAAGGCAGAGTTTGGTTTTAATACAGAGAAGCAATGCATCTTGGGGGAGTGCCACTAATCATTCACTTCCCCAGGCCTTGGGGCTTATGGTGCAGCACCTGTTCTAAGAATTATTATCACCTACACTCAGCAAATCTCGGGACGGGGCAATGTCTCAGCACGTGGATCTACAGTATAAGAATCTTTATTAAAGAGCAAGTGGTTGTTTTACTTAATGTCCAGCATATAAAGCTATTAGGTCAAAACCAAAATCTCCTTTCCTTTCCTCCTAAAGGGGGATGAGGCAAAGTAAACTGTTCTCTTTGTCTCATTAACCACCGCTGTGCTACAAATTCTCTGTCAATTAATCAGCCTTTTTTTTGGGGGGGGGGGG